ATACGATACAATTTAGTTGTGGTGCATTCATAGCAGAAGGTGCGATTCAGCGCCAGAAAAGCAGTAATGCGTTGAAACAAAACATGAGTCACCTGACAAATGAGTTCACAATTAAGTACTTCGCATTCACTTTGATATCTGTATTTATATAACGTTAACAAGACGCTACCAAATTTGACACAACGCCAAACACTGGCTTACCAAGTGATAAATCATAAATCATAACCTAAACGAATAACAGCATTTTCAGTACGACTACTATCCAAATAATAAAGTATACAGCTTCGAAATCAAAGTCCTGACGATCTCGTGCAACCGATGGCGATTCCCTTTGTCGAACCTACCGCAACGATAGCAGAATTAGAATCCTGCTTGGTTGGCTGGATCAATCCATTCTATCGTTCTGACGTAAGAAATATGTCTCGTCAAAGGCGCAAGGAAAGAACGAACAACATGTGCCGCATGACTATACACTTTTGGTGATACGGTGATGCGGAAATCACCGTCGAGTCACCAGTTCCGAAAAAGAAAGCTACCACAAGGTCTAAAGCCCAAACGAAAGTTCACGCAGGACAGCCTTCTCGTCTAGTCTGGCTGCAAATTTTCGTCTTTTCTGTCCTTTTGTCGGTGCCAGTACTCGTTGTTCTTTCACGGCATAAAGGGCAGTTCCTCAATTTCACCTCTATTATAAACCAGCACGCCTTCTATTTGGTCAACAGCCACCGTTGGCTACTGCAGCGCGACAGTGACTGACACCATCGGCTGAACTAAGTCAAAAATCTACATATAAATACATGTAGAACATAAACACGACACGATGGACGACACGACGAACTGCAAGGTGGAGAGTCAACCTTCAGTGACAGCGACCGTAAACAAGCACCGTAAGCACAACGATGCGACTACGACGGAGCGCACATCGCCATGAAACAAGCGCTATGCAGAACCCCAGAGATATCAACGGCTGATCGTGAGGCGGATCCGGATGATGGATTTGTCGTCAGCTGATGTAATCAGAGCGTTTCGTGTGCGAGATGACAGATCCACCAAACCGAAACTGTCTCGTACCCGTAGCTGGCAGTTCAGGGCGCAACCCACGCTGGCGTCTCCCGGGGACGCTCTCCAAGATCCGAACCTTACACGAATGTCAAAGATGACGCGGATTCTCGCGCACGACATCTAGCCATCGTCTAACAGTCGATGAAAAACAACTGCACATGCTACCAGATGTTCTCAGGAACGATCACACCAAAATACTAGTGTGGGCAACATCATTTCAATGCCATTTCAGCATCTTCATCGCGAATTATGTCGTCTCGTCCGCACCTTGATCATACCGTCCATCAAGCACCACGCACATTTTCCGTTCGGCCTACTCCGAACTCGCTGTACCAGATTCAAAAGGCAGACGGCAATACTTACCGTATGTCTTCGGAGATCGTCGCGAACGGTTACCTCCACCCCGCCCCTCCCACATCTTACAGAGAGGCCCTTCGGTCAGGGTGTTTTGCGTCTAGACACTTCTGCCTTGAAGTTCGTCAACCACCAGTCTAAAGATTCATCGCAAACTGACAGCCAAGAAAAATCTCCCGACCCTGTTTTGTCTGGACAGTGAGTCCTTATGCTGGTCGCTGCCGTCTCTGTGATGGAGACAATCAGGCTGGGTTAGTGAAGGGCAAATTAGGCCTTTATAAAGAAAAATAAAACACGATCTTATGGATTTACTAGCATACTGCTAGTTATTAGTACAAGTAAAATATGAGGTCTTTTACAGTATCGTCACTGGGCAATGTTAACTTTACCAGTTTCAGTATTCTTGGTGTGTAAGTCTATCATGCCAGTGTTGTAACTGAAGTCTCGCTGGCGGCATTGTCGCCTGCGAGGCATCAAAACTTCCAAAAACAACTTCCATAACTTGGACCCGTTTCAAGTAGTACAACGCTCGAAAGGACACTGCACGATTGAGGAAAACGATTCATCGTATTTCAATCATTTTCACTGGCCAAATCGCATGACATAACCGAGATTACCACAACTCAAACAGAGAACTTCCAGCGCTTGACTCAGACGACCAACAGCATCGTTTAAACAAGCAGTACTCAGATTCGTTGTAAGCAGCCCAAACGCTTCACAAACACTATGGAGTATAATAAAGTTGTACGGCTTCGGTTTCTGTCCACCATCCGAGTACAAGCCGAATAAATGGATCAAGGGTCGGGTCTTAAACAAGCGCCGCATTTTGCAGAGTACCTGTCACGTGACAACCAGCTTACCGCTGAACACTCGAACATTCAGGAAACGTTTCCTTAGCTTTGCCAGCAAAAGCAATCAATGTCCGTTCAAAGCGATACCGGGTCGCATCGAACAAGTGTAAAGTTGTACAACTCAGAAAGACAGATGATTTTCACAAACTTCAGCAGAACAACATATGAACATGGTAAACACATCATCGTTTTGAGCGACGTTTACCCGCAGGATGTTCAAAATAGGAAATTTGCAACTTAACCGTTGTTGGTCTGCCGATCAAACGAAATCAAATGCACACTAACGCCCGACAAAAAACAGAGCAAAGTGGCCTACGACCATTAAGGTAGTTTCATATAAACCAACAGAAAAGTTAATTGTTACAGGAAGCATCCGTATTGCGACACAGTGGACGAACGCTTTCATTTATAGACGATGTCATAACGCTAAGTTTTGTTATATTACAGAAAACGGTGTCCGACAGAGAGATGCAATATCATCGAAGTTATTCACAACGACCTCAGGAGAGGTTTTCAAGACATTCGACTGGGAGGATCAGGACTTGAATATAAATGCACACAACTTAAGCCGCCCTCCGTTAGCCGACGAAAACCTGACCTTCTGAGGAAGAACCAAAAGAACCAAAACATAATCCACCGAAGCCGGACGGCGCAAGCATTAAAGTAGAACCGAAAATTTATCTGAAGTAGGACAGATACGATGGACATGCTCGACAAATACGTGACCGCACGAAAAACGGACTACGTCCATCTGGGGCAACTCATCCTTGTAAGGGAAAACCGATTTAGCAAAATCAACAGAAGAATAAAAATGGCATGGAACACTTCTGGCAAACATCGAAACGTTCCTGTCCGAGAAACTGCTCTTGTGCTTGAAACGGAAAGTACACGGGACGACAGTGGGTGCTATCACTGCTAAACGATGGATACGAAACGTAGACCCTAAACCGACCATCGCGCATTCCAAAAGTGAGTCAACGGACCGCAGAAAGACCTCTAGATCGATGACAGGATGAGATGAATAAACTCGCTGCACGAACAAGGATAAACATGGAAGAAAACAGAAGTTTGTGGCAAAGATACATCAGATCAGATCCAGATTCTGTGATCATAATGATGTCATCTGAACAGTGTTTCGACAAGTCACAACAGGATAATACGGGGCGTAAAACCGTTCACCAACAAACATCATAGAAAGATTCTGACGTTTTGGTCGGTTTTCAGACCGGTTTGTGTGGTACTATACAGTTTGCGACTTGACAAAACACAATTTCACCTCTTCCATAAAAAACTCATGCCTCATCAGACTCATAACTTAACGCTGCTGCGGTTTAATCTGTAAGACTTAACAATGACTCCGCCATTGCCCGTCCCAAGCCCGGATGAGAAAGGAGGAGGGTTGGAGATCGTGGCAAGTCTCCGCAAAATTCAGCCACCTGCCACTCATGGTATTGACGCCATCGAAAATTACACCGGCTCGGTCGTCGCCCGGCATACCAAGGGTCGCGCAGGCTGTTGGGGGCTGAGGCAGACTGCAAAAAGTCGGCGACGTCAGAACCTGCTCATTGCCCTTTGCCAGCAGGGGGTGTGGCAGCACAACGACGGTTGACGAAGACCGACGCAACGACGACGAAGATACCAGTCAGCAACGGAGTCG